TTAGAATTCAAAAGCAGACTACGCTAACATCAAGCTGCGGAAAGTTTCTATGAATATACTGCTAATTTTCTCCTGGCACAAAAACATTTATTTGCCCCATGAAGGTAATGATAACATTCCATCTGCACTCAATACGCACTAGTATTATTAGTATATATACTGAATCAAGAACTCACTCAGATTGAAAAAAAAATCACATGGAAAGTATTGAAACTCTTTAGAGGAAAACACTAGCTAAAGGTCCTGCACCAGGCACCACTCGAAGGGCTTTCTGTGCAATTCCTCATTTCATCATCACAGCAACCCCACGAAGAAGGTATTATCATCACCTTCTCTCACAGATGAAAAAACTGAGAATGAGATTAAGTCATTTGTCCAAATCACAAAGGTAGGATTCAAGGCCAGTTTAACTCCAGAGCCCAAGCTTTAACCAACAAAAAACTACACAACACTGTTAAATGGAAAATCCTAAGATTATGTTTATGTTGTATGCACACACAATGACACAAAACAAAACACAACATGTTAACAATGGTTATCTCCTGGGCTAAATCTGAGTGGAATGAATATGAGAATTTACTACTTTTAGCCATAAAAGAAGCAAACAAATAAGAGAAACGGTTTTTAGATGGCGCTAACAGAAAGGTAAGGTGGGCTCAGGGAATTAATATTTAAGGAGCACCAGCTAAGAGCCAAGCACATGGCCTATCTCATCTAATCCTTACCTCAAAAAAAGGTATTTCTATTTTACAGATGAACAAACCAAAGATGAAGAAACCCAATCACTGGAAGAGCTGCGATGAGAACCCAAGGCCCAGTCCAAATTTCTGTCTGACTGTAGGAAGTCATGCTACAAATAAAAATGAACTGAAGAAACATTTTTTGAACTGAAGAGCTGTCTTAAAAACCATCAGAACCTAGTAGCCTGGCATCTTTAGTGCAACGAGGGAAAAGAGAGGCTGTAGAATTTAATTTGAAGTTTTAGTGCAGAGTATCTTTACACGTGTCTCAAAATAGCCAGAAGTATTGTCTAAAATCAGCATTACAGTCAGAGCTCTGGGACAAACAGAGTTACATTAGCATAAATTAAATGGGCTTGGATGTGACTCCATTGTATATGCAGTGGAGTATCTGCTTTTGGGGACAATTTGCTGCTTCCAAACCATTCTCACCTCTCTACCTATTGCTTACAAGTTACCAAGTGTGTGGGGGGAGACTGGGTTACAAGACCAAGGGACTGTTAATTGTATCCAGAAATAAATGGCCTCTCAATATCCATAACTATTGTTCCAAGCCTGGATAGTGAAAGCTGCTCACCCTGGGGGAACATCTCAGATAAGAATGAATGGATCAGCATTTTTTTTTCTTAATGACTTGTTTAATTCTGGGTGCTCTGACTTAGAAGTTTTAAAATCCATCAAAATCAAAATTTCATTTCTCTAAGAACAGCAGTGACATGATTTGCTGAGAAAAAATAGTTGGGGGTGTGGTATTCAAATTTCCTTCTACAATCTTTCAGAGGAAAGACAAATTGATCCTTTCAGATTTATAAATCAAAATAAATATTTATTTTTGGAACTAAATATTTAAGAGTAAAAAAGTATCTCACCTTAGCAATTTAAAATTAATTTCGTATTTGCCCTGAAGTCTCTTATTCGTTTCAAATAAAATGTAGCTTTTGAAAATAAAACCCCACCATTTCTTCAGGAATAAAATAGTCCTTGAGGCAATTAAGAAATTAACATATTTTGGAACAGGGTAGAAAAAGTACAAAACTTTTGGGATTTGTCCATATAGTTTTTTTAAAGCTTAGGAATGTGAAGTTAAACCTATATCTTTCAAACACTGAATTAGGAGGCAAAGGGGCTTTTTTTTAAACCTTAAAATGTTGTGCAAAGAGACTCATTGAGTGATTTCTTCCAACCAATATGCTCTAAAAATGCCAAACTACAACAGAAGTAACCATTTTGGGTACACAAGTACATAAAAACGTCCAAGTCAATAAGCAATTTCAATTAATCAATAAAGTTAAACAACCATTAAATGTAATTTGCATGTCTTGTACGCAATCCATATCATCTCAAATATCACGCCTTTCTTAAGAACAATGCTAAATGGCTGGATATGTATCGCTGTGGAGAAAACAGAAGTAGTTTTATTCTAGGCAGACAAAAGGAAAAGACACAGTAGGACTCACAGGAGGAGCCTCACACTTCCATCCTGACAGGAGTCCGCCTGCCCAGGTCCTGGGTCATCCATCCCCTGCTCCGCACGGCCCCCCTCTCCCAGGTACCAGTGCTCTGGGGGCGGGTGGTCAGAAGGTGGCACACCCCTGCCAGCCAACTCCAGCCGGCCACCCGGCAGGACGCACACGCACACCCACCCAGCATCCTGCCCTGGGTCCACCACAAAGGGCAGGAGGTGGGGACGGAGGGGGGTGGGGGGGTAGGAACAAACGAAAAGAGAAAAAGCACCTCTCCCCACCTGCCCATCCCGGAGGCGGGCCGAGGGGGGCAGGGGCATTAGCATCCCAACTTCCATACCAAAGAACCCCCAGAAGGAGGCTAAGTGCAGCCACAGGAAGCATCCCATCCCTGAAAACCGGGACATCTCGATTTGGGAATTTAAGTTTTCAACTAAAAAGCAAAACAACAAACAAACAACAACAACAAAAAACCCTTGCAAAGCTCAGGGCACCAAAATACAGCTAACACCGAACCTGTTTAAACAGAAAGAAAGAAGAGAAAACCCGGTATCGGCGAGGCTCCGTTCCCCGAGGGCTCTCCCGCAGACCCCTGTGAGCCGCAGCGATCGCAAATGCCCTTAAAAACCCCCACTTTCCTATCGCTGGGGTCGAACAGAAGGGATCCCCTGAATGCACATAGTTCTCCGAATAAACCCCCTGCGGATCCCCGCGCCGGGCTGCAGGAGGTGCCCTGCCCACCTCCCCTACCTCCCCATTCCTCCTGCTCCCACGCGCGCTGACAACCAGGGTCCCCCCCCCCCCCCCGGGGCTGTTCACGTGTTCGGCTCCCCGGACAGTGACCACACAGGACGGGAAACTCCCACCTCCGGGGGCGGCGGCAGAAACCCAGCCCCGCTCCCCGACGGGGTCCTCGCCGCCCACGCCCTCCCGCGGGGCCGCAGACCCGCAGGAATCCGGGGTGCAAGGGGGTGTGTGTGCGGGGAGGGGGGAGCTGCCAGATCGCCAAGTACCCGCCCGGGTGTCCGGGGTCACGCCCGCGCTCACAGCAAGCCCACCTGAACTCACCGCCTCCCGCCCCGGCGCCCCGGCCCCGGCGCTCACGACGGAGCCGGAAAAATCCTCGGGAAACTTTTCCAAACGGGGCGGCGAGGCCCTCACGCGCCGGGCGCCCGGGGCTGGGCTGGAGGCGGCCGCCCGGAAGGCACCTGGGGCGTCTGGAGGGTCCCGGGTCTTAGAACTTTCTCGATAGGACTGGCTGGAGTTTGCAAGCCCCCGGGGTTCTCCCGCCCCCGGGAGGTCCTAAGACTTACCACTAGGCTCCTGCGGTAGAGCTCTCTCTTTTCTGTATATAAGAGATTTGCGGGCAGAAGCGCGCTGA